AGACAAAAAAAAAAAAAAAAAAAAAAAGACCCTGTTCTCAGGGAATATATGATCTATTGCTGCAACAGAGCTGAAAATAATTATAATACACTATGATAGTTTCCAGATTGAAAATAGCTCTAAACTATAGATCTGTAATTTTTTTCAAAAACCTCTTTAAGACTTGTAATGAAATCTTGGGAAAACATCACAGAAGAAATATTAATCATTGCCAAAGACGACTCTGAAATATTTGGAAATCTGGTAAATGACAGTAGCTCTACAGAGCAGCGAGTTTGGGAGGCAGAGGGAGGAGAATCATGAATTTGAGCCCAGCTTGGGTAGTCCTGCAAGATCCTGTTTCAAAATTTAAAAAGGCTGGGGATATAATGTAGTTCATTTGGAAGGCCCAGGGTTCTGTTCCTAGTACCAAGAAAAAAAAAAGTACAAGAATGTCTTAGTTACTTTTTTCTTATTGCTGAGACAAAATACACAACACCCTAAGTTACAGGAAGGCAGGTTTTTTGGCCCACAGTTTGTAGGGGTTTCAGTCCGTTATTAGCTGGCTCCAAGGCAGGTGGCACATAGCAGAGGGGCATCCCAGAGAGAAACAGTTCATGGCAATCAGGTCATAAAGCAAATATAGGAACTTATTAACAGCTTCTTTCTGCCCCTTTTATATTCTGTCAAGGCTACAGGGATTAAGGCAGTGCCAAACCGATCAGATTTAGTAATCACACACTCTTAATCCCAGCATCTCACACACTAGACTCAGCCACCTCTGACAAAGTCCCACCTTGGCCATATGAGGCTTTGCGGGGATGTTTAGACACAAAGCATAACGAAGGAATGCACAAAAAATGGTCCAGTTTAATTAAAGAGGGCAATTCAGGGAAAGGAAAAAAAAAAAAAAAGCCCATTCAAAGCCTCAAGGTTTAAAGGTGCAAGAAGAATTGCTGGAACTGAAAGACAAAGGTTGAATCCCAGGAGAGAAAGCTGTCTGTGAAGTGATGAATCATTTCATGAAGAGTCTTCTGACATAAAAGAAAGTTTTTTTCTTATACTTGATAGAAAGCAATGAGTTTAGCTATTAAAACTACTATTTTTCCAGTTATACTCTGTGCCAAGTACCTGCTAATCCCAAAAGATGTTGGCATACTTCTATTTGTAACTGAGAAACAGGTTCAGAGAATTATTTTCAGATTAATCCTGCAATAGCTCTGGCTACGATTATTGAAGCATGGAGATGGGTGGTGGTAATAGATGCACAGCAGTGAAAATGCACTTACCACTGAACTGAACACTAAAAATGTTTAAATGGTAAATCTTATGCCTGTATATTTTACCACAATTTAAGAAACTATGTGGCTGGGTGTGGTGACATATACCTGTAATCCCACCACCAGGGAGCCTAAGGCAGGAGAATCACCAAGAATATGAGGCAAGCGTGAACTATATTATGAGGCTGCCTCAAAAATAAACTGATACTGAGGTTCAGAATAGTCTGAGGTTCAAATATTTTTGAGAACATTTTGTTACAGATAATAAGGAAAGATGTAAGGGAACACCTAGCAGATATTACATAGTCTGATCATAAGAGATGTTCTTAGTTCTCAATTGTTGGGGGAATTATGTTTTCATTTGAGTGTGAAAATAAAGAAGTATGGTAGTGACTGATGTGCAGCCATCCTTAGGACGGATGTGATGTTCCTTTTCACACTGGACAGATGTTGACGCCTAGCTTTACTTGCTTATTCCAAAGGGGTGCTGAGGAATTGAGTGGGGTGTGGTCTCTTACCTCAGCAAGTAGGTTGTGTGCATAACCGCAGCTCCAATTCAAAACTAAGACTCAGATTCTGATGATGGCTGTATATAGAACATTAACTTTGTTGACTGTAAATTATGTGACTTTTTGGAACATTATTTGGCAATAACTGTTAGGTTGGCCAGTACTTGGACAATCAATGTGTAGGGACATGAATACAAAATTCTTTTTGCTGTGTTGGTCATAGTGGCAAAAGTATAAACAGTCTGGAGCCAATAGGAAAGTGATTAGACAAATTATGCTCTATGCATTGTAAAGAAGAGGGTGCTTCTCATAAAAGGTGTGTTAAGTCTATGTACATTGGCCTGGAATGTAAAATAGTTGTGTTAGTGTAGTATGGAGTATGACCTAAAGGAAAAACCTTACAGTGTGTACTGTGTAGGACCAAGAATTCAGAAAGGTGGTTCTCTGCTGAGCGTTGCCATGGTGTCCTGCTTCAACAGTGCTGGAACGGAGCCTGGCCTGCACCACCCTAAGCGGCCTTGCTCTCGCAACTGCGCCAGAACTACCACCAGGACGCCGAGGACGCCATCAACTGCCAGATCAACCTGGAGCTCTCTGCCTCCTATGTCTACCTGTCCATGTCTTACTACTTTGACCACAATGATGTGGCTTTGAAGAACTTTGCCAGATACTTTCTTCACCAATCTCACGAGGAGAGAGAACATGCTGAGTTGATGAAGCTGCAGAACCAGCGCGGTGGCTGGATCTTCCTTCAGGATATCAAGAAACCAGACCGTGATGACTGGGAGAATAGGCTGAATGCATTGTACTTGGAGAAGAGTGTGAATCAGCCCCTCCTGGAGCTGCACGAGCTGGCCACTGATAAGAATGACCCCCATCATTGACTTCATCGAGACACACTACCTGGATGAGTAGGTGAAGGCCATCAAAGAGCTGGGTGACCATGTGACCAACCTGTGCAAGATGGGAGCCCCTGAGTCTGGCATGGCGCCAGAGTATGGTACCTCTGACTAGCATACCTTGGGGGACAGTGACAGTGAGAGCTAATGTCACCAAGTTGGCACATGCATGTTGGGGCTACCTTAACCTTTTCTATAAACTGTACCAGAACATCTACTTAAGTTCTTTAATTCCTTCAAATAAAGAAATTTGGTACCTGGAAAAAAAAAAGAATTCAGAAAGGTGTAAGATTCACATCAAACTGTTAAAACATTGTCTCAGAAGTAAGCTTAGCAATATGATTATCTTTTCTTGTACAATAATGTTGTTTGGCTTATTTTAATTTTAAGAAAGTTGTGAAATCAAAAGAAGGGAAAAAAATCTATGATAGGAACTCTACTAGGGTAGGGAGAGGATCATGGCTCAGAAATGAGAGTAAGACCCCTTTGCATTAGGTAATGCTCTTCATCTTGAGCTCAGATAGGTCTTACACAGATGGGTCACTTTACAAAATCCATTTCATTATATGCTTATACTTTGTACAATTTCATGTCTATATCAATTACAAGATTATAAAAATTATACCATGGAATACTATGTTTCTTAAAATATTTCATTAACTATGTAATATATTAAGTCAGGCGAGAAACAACCCCCTTATACAATGGACATAACACAAAATGAAGGCTGTAATAAAAACACCAGTACCAGCAGATACTGTGCCTAGCTGACAGTTTTGGTGGCTTAGTATTTGGTTGTTAAGTAAAGACAGTATTGGTTGGGTTGTTTTCAATAGAAAGTGGTTAATAAAATCAGATTACAGGACATTAAGAAGAAAATAAAGGTGAAAGGTGCAGAGGTACATGCCAGTAATCCCAGCATTCAGAATGCTGAGGCAGGGTTGTAGTGAGTTCTTCGAGGTTAATCTGTATGGGCTACTGAGTGAGTTCAAGGCCAGCCTGGGCTACAAAGTGGGACCTTATCACAAAAACGTTACACACACACACACAAAGAAAAAGGTGAACAAAAGAGAGAAAAGCATTAAACAAGAAAGCTAACTAGAGAGATGTACAAGTCAGGAAATTTTAAAAATCTAGGAAGGGACTTTTTACTACAGCCATCAAGTCATCATGCAGTACAGTGATATTAAAAATTGTCATACTGTTTAGCTTTTAAAAATAATTCATGCTTGATGCCTAATTTTTACTGGTTTTTAGTGTGTGTGATAGTATGTATTTTAAACCGTTTATTTGGTACAGGGTCTCACTCACAGCTCAGACTCATATTTATCCTCCTGCTTCAGCATCCCCAGCACTTGGGATTATAGTGTGTGCATCAAATCTCCCCAATCCATAAGCATTTAGTTTTAATGAAACTGTTGATACAGTGCTTTGAGTTGGCCTTACTAGTAAGCAACTTGTAGTAGTTTAAGAAATCTCTTTTGTCCCAATCTTCACTGGTTAACTACACAATGATTTGCTCACCTCTTTTTCCCCTTGTTATCACACGGAGGCAAATACTTTCGTCACGTTGTAGTGCAATGAGAATCAAATGACATGTTATATTTTTCTTGCTTTTCCTTGAGCCCCAAATCCTTGGTTTTGGATGCAGTTATTTCCTTTTAGAAATCATTTTACTGAGTTCAAAAATTAAGGTTTATGAAAGAATGTAATTTTTCAGCCATGTTCTACAAAGGTTGCAGCTAATATTTTTCAATGTATGGGCTGTGATTGCAACGCATCATATTTTACTTTAATAAAATTCTGCTTTAAATGTAATCATTTTTATTGTATCACTAATCGTTGAGCTGTCAGGGGAAGAAATCATCGGGCTTTTCTTTCATTCCTGTCATTTCTCCTTATTTCATCATGTTTACTTAAAATAAGTCAACTCAGATTTCTTCAGGTGTTTCTCGCAGGGATTTTTGATAATGACTTCTGATTACCCTTAAATCAGTAGTAGTCCTCAGTACAGACTGAGTTGTTGAATTGGAGACAGCTGTGTGGCACTAGGACCCAGGGGGCTCCTGCGGGCGGATCTCGGGGCCAGATTGCAAATTCGCGGTGACTCAGTCTGGTCGGTTCCTTGCGCTCGCTTGGTGCCGCGGCGGCAGCAGTAGACGTTGGCGGCCGCCCTGCTGGGAGCAGTTCCGCCGGCCTTCGCGGTCGGAGTCTTCCTTGGGGCACTGCAGGCAGGTCGCGGGCGCGCGGGGGTGTTGGCGCGGGAGCCCTCGGGCCTGTGCACCCGGAGTAACATTTGCTCCGTCTCTTCCTGTGTCTGGCTTTATTTGCAGCAAACCAAGATGGAGTATGAGTGGAAACCTGACGAGCAAGGGCTTCAGCAAATCCTGCAGCTGCTGAAGGAGTCGCAGTCCCCGGACACTACCATTCAGAGGACCGTGCAACAAGTATCCTTCCGATGCCTGCCCGCA